TTTAAATAAAAATTATACATACCTTTAATTACCCCATAAATTAATTAATCATACCTTTTTTGTATAAAAGTTATACACAATGTTATCGTATTAGAATAACGGAAGAATAGTATTAGAAAAAAAATTTATTTAATTTTGATACGCATCAATTTTACTTTCATTTCTCTTATACTCAAATAATTGACATGAAATATGCATATCTTCTAAAATCTTTCGAAAGACAGAGATTCCCGAAATGCCTTTGATTCAAAAGGAGAACTAATCTCTTGTCTGAAAAAAATAATCTTTTCCGTTATCATTGAGAAGTTGTTCAATTTAATCTTCCGCTTATATAGGTGAAAGTGCGAGTCGCTAACCAGAAGGAGATTCCTTCTTGTTGAATCCCTTGTGAGTAACCGGCTACCAGCGACTCATGACCTATCGATTCGCCCTATATCAAAGCTCGCGATTGGAGCACGTATCGGAATTGCACGGGAATTGCGCCTCGTTGCGTCGATAAGCGTGGAAGTCGCGCACCTTCTCGATCTAGTCGAGACTTCGTTCGATTTTGCCCTTTCGAAGACTCGAATCGACTATCGAAGAAAGAGTTTTACTCCCAGACATCCCACTGCTCCCAACAGTTTGAAAATCTTATTCTGGAAAAGCCTTCTCATGTTTTAACTTGTGAAAATCTGATATCCCTGAAAGAGAACATCGATATCGACGAAAGACGATCGGTGCTTCAAGTGCATTTTATGTGTTTATCAATATACCTAAAGAATAAATTTTCAGACAATAAATAGCACATTTTACCATAATTATTTTATCGCGCAATAAAACATTTCAATAAACTACGTCTCTTTAATGACAAATACTTGGACGAATCTGGAATTCTAGATTCTTTTTTAATTAAAATATTTGAAAGTGAATAGATAATTATATTACAATTAATAAATTCCACAAATATTTTTATATAAAAATCTCATTTTCCTCTTTAATTAACATATCGAAATGGTTTTTAAATTACTACCAATAAGATTCAAAAGTAACAACAAATAAAAATGTAATTTATTAAACGTATTAAACTTGTTATCCTCATTTTTTTACCAAAATATGCCTAATTTATTATAGAAATTAAGGTATAGAGGATTCAAGATCATCACGGCTACGCTGTCCTATGCAGGACAGTTGCACTTCTGCTTTTGGTCAGAAATCCCATATGCAATTCGCCGGCGAGTCACCAAAGACTCGTCGTGGCCATTAAAACACTAGTGATCGAGAAAGTTTGCGAATTTATCGTTGCAATCTTGTCCGGGAATATTTATGACCGGTCGGCCGGTCGCGAAAGTTTACTTCGTTTTCGCGCGTGAAACTCGCGCGTTAGCCGTTAACACCAAAGCTCTCGTCCGGCTTTGTGATCGTCTCCTCTCTCGTATCAGTCCAGTCTAGAACCGACAGATAGAACAGAGCCGACTGTTGTTTTTAGACGCACGCGAACGAATTTCAGACGGAGTGTAAATCCGTGCGAGGACATCAGACCGAGCTAGAACCTGGTAGCAAGCTTGCTGAATCGCTCGCGAGAACTTGCGATGGCGCGTTTAAACTTTAAACGACATCGCCTTCTCCATGCGTTTTACAAGTCGCATTATAGTGTAAGTTTGCGACGATCGAATGGATTTGGTGTCGCGACATCGACTTATAAGGGACGCAACTGTTATCGCCGGTTTGTGAAATGCATGTCGTTTATATACGAGGTGTCGCGAAAATGCTACTACCTTCATTGATTCTGTAGTTGATATGAAATCAATATTTTCTTGACAAAATTTCGGATTTTTACAGTGATTTTATCAATTGTGCGCAGTGAATACAAATATCACAGTTGAACAAATCTTTAATAAGTGAAGATTAAAAAGGACCTTGGAAAAATAAACTTAAAGTGCAAAGAAGTAATAAAAGTTTCCTTTTCAGATAATTTTAGATGAATTCTTTGTATTCATCTAAAATTATGCATATATCATAAATTTTAAAGTAGATAAAAAATTATTATATAATTGTACATCATTTTTCATCTACTTTGAAATTTATTTAATACACAATCAACTTTAAAAATTTAGACATCAAGACTCTGAATTACATCTTAATTAAAGATCTATGTCTGAATTCTATGTAATTAAAGTATGTTAGAAATTTTATATTATATATTTTAATTAAAGAGTATGTAAAATTTTAATAAAATTCCAAGAAGCTCTATTTTTTCCGCCATTACGGAATTATTTGAAAGACAATAGGATTGATTGTAAGTCGCATTTAAAGATTTTTTTTATATTTCGAAAAAGAAATGGAACACCCCGTATATGATCCCTATTTTACATACTCCGAATCTTGTGCGGGAGGGCTATCGTTCGAATGGCCGGAGGGTGAGTATCATATTCAATGAAATCTCGAGGCACAAGAAAATTGTAATCCGCCTCCATTACTGGCCGCCACTTCGAGATAGCATTTAACTTTTCCGGGGACGGCTAAAATTTCGACTCGAATCTATGTAAAGCGTTTCAATGCGCATACATCAGACATAAATGGGCAGCAAGCCTGATCCGCTGACTTATTTCCTTGATATCAATATAATATCCATATAGATTGTATAAATCGCACTTTGTAACTCGTATAAAAGGTTTAATGATAGTCGAGATAATGTATGCAGAAGGAATATTGCAAACTTCTACACATCTATAGAAAGTCACCGATGCGAAAGAGATTATACTTATTTATTAATATTTTTTTCTAATACGAAGAAACTGTTTTGTATTTATATCTTTTAAAATTTTGATGAGAATTGTGCGAAACTTTCGTAAGCTTAAATCGTATATAGTTCAGCGCAGATTGATGGAATGTTTTTTTATGACGTTTTTCATACGTACATGCCGAGGAATGCAATTTATTGCAGGTGATTACTTTTGCGCGCGCGCGCGCGCGCGTTTATCTGATCTTCCATCTTTTATTTGCGTTTAATTCGCGCAAATGTGAGACGTTACGATCGACGATAGATTGTTATTAAGCTTATTTAGCTTCATCGCGGTGACATTGCGCGAATATCCGCGATATTCTCTCACATTCGTCGAGGTGAAAAGATTCGTTGCCGACATATTTTCGTGATTCTCCTCCTTTCATCCATTTTTTACGCGATGTGATAATCAAAATAATTTTGCAAAAATATTTACCTACGCACATATTATATTATTGTATTTTTCTTCGTTAACGAGCTTGAAAAATTAATATTGCAATTTATCATTAAGGGAATCTGATACAAGACTTTAAAAATAAAAAATTTTAAACTTTAAAATTTTTAATTTTATTTTACTATACACAGAGAGAAATCATTTTGTACGTAGCAACCAAAATTTTGTTGATATGTGACTAACAAAAACTTCCTTATTTTTTCATTAAAAAATTCTGTTGTCCTAACTAAAATTTGATTATCTTAAATTTTGATTAGAGCGACAAATTTAATTAGAATAACAAAAAATATTTGTTAAAATAACCAAATTTTAATTAGAACAACACAATTTTTAAATGAGAAAATAAGAAATGTTTTTTAACCACGTGTCAACAAAATTTGATGGTACAGTTTTCTTAGTATAATTATAATACTATAACTTGATATCAAAGATTTGTGTACATATTCTAGAATATTCGATTTAATGGAATCTTATCGGAATAAATTTATACAAAGAAAAATTCGCGCAATGAATTTTTTATCTTCTGATTTCGAATTCGTAATATTTTATGATTGGATGCGATGATATTCGTTCTAATTATTCATATACAGTACCAATAAAATATTTCGAAAATGCTTATTACTTCTCAAGTTATACAGTTCAGTAATTATACTTGCGATATATAAAATTTTTTATTATTAATATATTTCTTACACAAAACAGAAAAAAAATCATTATTTAAAATTAAATACTTTAGTCTCGCGAAATCTTATATATTAATAAATATCATTAAAACACTTTTGTTATCGTAAAAATTGCGTTATCGTAAAATTTTTGCGTCATCATAAAATATCACATACGAACATGCTTATTAGAGAGTTCCATTATTTCTATACTATTTATTAGACTTTATTTCAAAATTATTTATTTCTAATGGCAGATTCTTCAATTTCAGCTGAACTTTCCAATGTCAAAGCATTTATAACTTAGGAGTAAAATTTAATTCTTAAAAACTCTATGCGTGGCAAAATATGGCATATTCAGCTTTCTTTTCCCAATGCTTTTTCAATTCTTCTTTTGTTGCTTATAACTTTTTTATCAATAAAAATACATATATTTACTTGATACCGTTATGTTCCTTATACTTGGTTTTTCATTATTTGGTTAACTTGAGGTAATCTTAATCTGATGTTTCATAATAGGCTTCATATAACGTTACTATAGATGAAGCCCATTGGATAAAACATCAGGTTAAGCTTAACCACAAGTTAATTAGATAATGAATACCCGGGTTTTAAGGTCTGACATTTTAATTGAAAAAAAATTGTAATAAGTATATTTTTATGAAAGTCATAAACAAAGTCGAATTGGATATGCCATATCCAAGTGCGTGGTTTCCATAATATGGTGTTTAATGATTAATAGTGGTATGGTTGGTAAAAAAGAACATTTTTCGCGAGATAAACTTTAGAGGGTTGAATAGCTCATCAAAAGTACAATTATTAATTATATCTTTGGATTGAATTTGTTTCAATAAATTTATAATTTTAATTTAAGTTACAAATTATTTATATATAATTTTAGAAATAAAAGTATACAATTATACATATATACATAGAAATAAATTTAAAAATATTTACAGAAATAATAAATATTAATTTTAATAATAATAATAATCGTCTTTTGAACAGAAAAAGCCAACTCACTGAATCATTGTCAGTCTAATATTGAAAATGATAATTGATAATATTTTTTTTTTTTTTTTTTGATACTTTGCATATAAAATCGTCGCCTTGAATATTTTTACTAATTAAATGCTTCGTGAGCAGCTAGTATTCGATCGACTTTTCCATTGGGAAGAAGTGGCATGTCTGTCTTGAAGTGCAGACCTCCGCGCAGATTAAAGATATCAGGCAAATTCTCTGCTACAAATTCTTTCAATTCGTCTTCCGTCACCTAAGACACAATAACGTGAAATTAAAAACGATAAAAAGGTTTATTCGACAGAAAAAAAAATAACCAGCTTTGAACCTCTACACCGCATTTTTCCTTAACATAGGCTACAGGACAATGACCATTGGTACTATGTGGCACAGATCCTACAGCGACTCCTGACACTGCTGGATGTCGTAGTAACATATTCTCAATTCTTGTAGGTGAAAGATAGAATATTCTATATTTAATAAGATCCTTTACTTTATCGATGACGAAGATTTCGCCATCTCTATTATAATAACCATAATCTCCGGTATAATCCCATTTTTCACTAGCTGAAAACATGTAATATTATATTAAGTATTTTACTTTATTAAGCTTTATGGCGTTTATAAACCAATATATATATATAATATATATATATTAAAAAAGTTGGTATACTGAGGCTTGATTTTATATGCTCGATAGTATTCTCTTTTGCTCGATAGTTGTAACAATTTTGCAATTTACACGTCTGAGGAGAGCACCACTTGAACATAAATTTGTACCAGATCATGCCTGTTCTGCATGGATCAAGTATTTTTTCCGAATGCATATTGGTAAAATGTAATTGAACATTTTTGGCTACATAACCGCTAGATCCGAGCTGCGGATAACCTCGTTGGTAAGCCGCAATTATGCATATTTTTGTTATACCTAATCAATGCAACGATTATTAATTTTAGATAATACATTCCTATCATTAACAATTGGTTTAAGTTGTACATACTGTATACTTGAACGATAGGAACGTTTATAAATTTATCGCGGAGTTCTTCTTGGGCGTCACTGAAATTCATGGTTGAATCATCGATTACCAATTCCTTCAAGGAAGAGATATCATACATACGGATATCGGTACAAAACATATTTTTGTTGCACATTTTGTTTTCAAGAAATAACCATGAAATCTGATATATATGTAAATATCTTATATTAATATTTCATTAATTTTTGAAGTAAGATCTTGATTCTTTTTATGTTACCTTATATTTCTCTATCGTTTCGTACATGGTTTTATCTGTGAATGTTGGACACTTGATTACTGTCACATACGAAAGTATACAACGAACGGTCAAGATCACACCGTAACCCCAATTTAAAGATGCATACCATAGACCAATGTCACCAGAAAACATTACGGGTACCTCCTGGTTCGACGGATACGTAAGTGCAACATAAGGAATAGATATTTTACTATCAAAATATCCAGTTGCACTGTGAGAAAACATTATCGCTATAGTATCCATTGGTTTTATATTCACGCAGGAAAAGCTATCAATTTTGGTCTTATCAAAATCATTATTCAGAATTGATTCAAGAGAATCGACACCTTCAATTCTATCAAAAGTAATGATTTTTGGGTCTATATTTATTTTGTTTCTTTTAATAGTCGATGTGAAGAACTCGTAATTGTCACTATCGATAAAGATAATATCTGGTTTATATATGAACAGAAAGTACATAATACGTACGTCATCTAAAAAGATTTATTGTTTACTAAGTAAAAAGTACACAGATATATATAAACGTTAAAATAAGTTATTGAATTTTAGAAAAAGATCAATGTACCTTCCATATACTTTTTGTCCCATGGATTAATAATAGCCCCGACATATAAACTCGCTAGAAATGGTATATATTCGAGCATTTTATGACGTGTGCATATTGCTATTATGTTTTTTTTACAGCGTAATTGTTTGAACCATAATGCACATTTAACACTGTTCTCCCGCATCTGCTGATATGTAGTTTGCTCTTCCGTCATTGCATCTATCTACAATATGTACCAGTCGCATAATGTTAAAGATATTAATATATTAATATTAATATGTCTTATCAATAAGATATTAATCCTTTCACTATTTATGAAAATAGTTAACGTAACAAATAAGCTTTATTGTTATTACCTGACCGACAAAATTCGGTTTAGATTCGAATGCTTTCAAAATCGTATTTCCAATATTTATATTATGAAGTAAATCTTCTGTTCCGGATAATAAATCAATTTTGTTGTTAGACTTCTAAAAGATGCACAATAATATTGTTAATAAAGCTTATATTTTAACTAATATACTACGGTAGATTTTATTATGTATGTATCTGTTACCTCAGACGTCATATTGCTATTAATTCTTTAGATTAATAATAATACTAATAGCACTTTTTATCACACGAATGTTGAGTAGCTCTTCTCTCTTGTGTCGCAACAAAGACTAAGTTTAAATTTCTTCTAATATTTATTTCTATGTGTTTGCGATATAGTTAAAAGTTAAACGAATCTGTTTTGTTTGGAGAGAGATGTCCTTTTAATCGCTTGTTGTTGATGTTACATGACAATATTTATTACTATTTTGAATTTTATTTTTATATTCCGTATCTTTAGTAGCCAATTTATTTTCTAAATTGTTTAAACTAGGTTTATGCTATTAATTTAATATGTCTTGTCACTTGTAGTTTAGAAAATTTTATCTCGATAAATATGAAATATGTTAACATTATAAAGTTGTATAATGGTATATTTCAATATTAGTCACTAAACTTAATACAATATATATATTATTTATCTTTACATGTTATTTCCCATAACTACAACAATAAGAATGCAATTAAAATTTAATGATTTTTCTCCTTGATTGAAATTCATATCTCAATTTAACATGAAAATGATTTTAAGTTGTCAATAAAAATATTGTCTCTCTATATCATATGAATTTATGAAATCAAAGATGTACACAGGGTTATTCATAAGAAAAAAATGTTCCTGATCCATTTATTTTTTATTGATCGATAAGACTATCTCAGTTTTTGCACTTTCAAAATCTTGACTTCGTTAAAAGTAGAAAGTAATTTGTATGTATTTGCAAAAAACCTATATATCTATTTATATTATTTAATTTAACAATTATGATTTATTATTCTATCAAATATTTTTCACTTTGATAAATCACTGATAAAAGCTTGAAATAATTATTGTCACATCAGTTTCGTAAATTTCAGTATATTAATTAATATAAAATAAAAAACGATGATACATTTATATAATCAATTAGCTGATAGTTTTGTACTTTCTGATAAGTTTTACGTAAATAAGGAAATATGAGATAAAAAATCAGAATTTTTACGAGAAGATTAAAAATTGCGCGTTTTAATAATTATATATATAAATTTTATAATATCTCATGAAGATTATATATTTTCATTAGATAAAAGATATTCTAGTATTATTTTATTTTAATCAGTTTATTAATGATCATTTTTTTCATTTTTGAAGTTTGTTTTTTGCAATAAAAATTTTTTTCAGAAAATTGATTTTAATCAATGATTTATAATGCACATTTTTCAGTTTTGAAGAATTATTTATTTAAAAGCATTTCTATGAAAAAGCTATTTCGTGTTATTTTATTTTATAACCTTATAATTTTAATATATAAATGTATTATCTGTTATACTTTCTTGAAAATTAGTCGTGCAGTTTTTCCCTTTTTCTGCAATGAAAATATTTGATTTCGTTATTTAGCCATTATGAAGACCGATTTTCCCAATTCATTGCATCGAGGAGAACGCTCTTTACAACTTTTTTATAGACGGACTTGTGAAATTAATATTTATTATTGGAAAAGTATATTGTTACGAATAAATTACAGACAGTGTATTTTATACAAAAACTCTAGCCCTTACGATTTTATTCTTTATTGTATTAATATAATTACTTTATATTAATTATGCATTATATTACATTGTAATTATATTAATATAAATATAATTATAAAACCGAATATATAATTATATTTGCTGTATCTACTCTATACAATATGATTATTTTTAAATACATTTATAATGCATGTAAAGTTTTATATTTTAATAATAAAATTTTGCGAAAATCGCTGTTAACCCTTTTATTTACAAAAAATATACCGTTTGTCGAGCGTAACAATGTAATATTCCCATTCGATATATCATTCGTCATTAATCGTAACATTTACCATAGTTTTATTCAAATCTTTAAGAGACAGTAATTTTTAAAAATGTACAATAGTAAAATTACCCTCAAAAAAAGTACATAATCTTTTGTTACATGAAAAATAATCCGTGATGGAACTTCATATTTTCAGTATTATATTGTATTATATTGTTCAGTATTATATAATAATTAAAGGTATTTTTTACAGATAGCGTCGTATTATTATCATAGTATGATATTATCATTTATATATGTATGTCTATTCATCATTAAAAAACTAGGATGGCAAATAAAGTATAACGCCATTATCTTTATCGTTATTTTTTTATCATGGCATTACATTTTTTATGACTGTAAGCGTGAATAACTAAACACTAAGATTGTGCTAAGGTTGGAAAAGTTACTTTGAAAAATAACTAGGATTATTATAACGAAGTAACGGAAGTAAGAAAAGTAATGGCGTTATAAGTTATCTGCTATTTTTATAAAAGAATAATAGATAATATCGTCGATAAGTAATATCGTCAATACAATGCTCAGTCATTAATTTTACATATAAATTATGCTTGGATCAATTTTTCTATTAGGAAGCCGTTGAATTTCGTCTGTAACGAAGCTTCGCGGAGTTTACGACTGTCAGGTAGCCCGTTTGCCACAAATTCCATTAGCTCTTCTTCTGTCACCTAAGCACAACGTAAACTTTTTATAAATAATTTTTTTTTACTTTACGAAAAGAAAAAAAGTTTTAAATCTTTGCTTCCGGTTTTATCTCAACATAAGCTCTCAGATGCTGACCATCTTTAGGATGTTTCACAGCTATTACAATGGCCTCAGATATAACCGGATAGCATAATAGGAGATATTAGATGTTCTTAAAGTAATCCGGATGCTTTCATATATTACCTTACTTTTCTATCATCTTTACAAAATTTTCCGTGCTATTTACGACAGATTTTATCGCTGTCACATGTGAAAGTATGGCATGGACAGTCAAAAGCAAATCATGCGTCCAACATAAAGATTCGTGCCATAGGCCAATTTGGCCAGAATATATATGTATCTGTCTGAGTTTGAATGAAACATAAATGCTATATAAAGAATTTCTACCTTACCATCTTTGTAATAACCCGTTTCAGAAGACAAAAATGTTCTAATTGCTGTATCTCTTATATTATTTTTCTCGCAGGAAAACTTGTCAATTTGATTCTTGACCGAAGTCGTCATTCACAATAGTTTCCAGGGAGTTAAATTTGCAGGTTGAAGATTCAACCTCACCAATGGTGATGATAACGTTGATATTCTTGCTGAGAACAGATATTAAAACAGCACTTTATATTCTGACGAATGCTACGTGACTAAGTTTTAAATTGTATTAACCGATACAATATTTGTTTATGATTCCAATGTATAAGTGACCTCATGCTAAGAGTTTAGTTAAAATACTTGGATAAATATATGTCTGAAATGATTGAAAGAGAAGAAAATATTTTACTGAGAGATACCATATCAAATTCAATTAACATTTCTATAATAAAATCTTTTTCATTCTAATATCGATCTATAATAAATTATTCGTTTTAAGCTCTTCTGTTTGTTTTAATCTCTAAGTTTCCGTTTTAAGCCTTTTTTATATTCTATGTCTCTACTGTTTACTTAATTGTTTGTTTACAAACACTAAAGTATTTGTTATTGTATCTGTTGATTATATTCTGATTTATTTTTTCAACAACAGTTGTTGCGGAAAAAAAATCTCGCTTCTAATATCATCGTGGTATCCATAACAAACTTAACAACAAACGTATCACCTCCACACAACAAATCTTATGGCATTTTCGGCCCAACCGGATTTGCACTAATTTGGGTAGAATTAATGATATTTCGTGCTCTCCTATTGATAGAGTGTGTAACGTCAACCAGCAAAGCATTTTTCAACCCAGCTTGGTGCAAACTCGGTCATGTCGAAAACGTTATTAGTAGATTTTTAATAGGAAAAATTTATGTCGTTAGCGATGATTCGTTTCACATCGACGCCTTGCTGTTATATACGAGATGAAGCAAAGCCGAGGTTGCATATTTCGGCGCTCGAGATAAAATGCGCCTTTTAAAATAAAGAAATATTTTTACAACATGTAAAATATAATAAAAAATAATATTAATGTTAATTTTAGTAGGAGTACTAAAATTAATATTAATTTTAGTAGGAACGTACAGTTGCATATAGAGGTTACGTGTACATATATGTGTATGTTATACAAACAAACAAAATATAATTAATTAAAAAATTATAATAAAATCAGTATATTTATTTTTAGTATTTTTAATATAGATAATATTAATTCTTGTAAAAATTCGCAGAAAATTAATTTTTTATTTAAAATACTTTTCGTGCTTTAATTTTAGCAGAAAAATTGTTAATTATTTTATTAAAATTTATATTCTCACATTTTATTTTTATTTAACACACAGCGAGCGCTCAATAACGAATGATAGCCACTGTTAGTAGTGAATGAATTAAAATATATAGACATTTATATTGCCATTTTTATGTCCCAAAATTGTTTGAGGCAAGTGCCTCATTCGCTAGTCCCTATTCTGACAGAATGTAATATTTTCAAGTATTGAAAATAATAGAACACGTACTTTTAGTCAAGCTTTATTCAGGCAATGCAAGATTACAATCGTGTAATGCGCTGAGACAAAAATCTCACTCAAACGACAATTAAACGACTTAATATTAAAAGTAATTGATTCAATTTTGAAGGTAAAATTTAGAATTTCTAGAAAAGGAAATAAGAATTAAGTAAGAGTCAGTGATTGAGAAATATATACGGATAAATAGAAAGTTCTGTCGGATAATTTTAGGAAGAAATTAAAAAGCTATTTTTTTTCTCTTTAAAATTGCATTCCGAATAGCATAAGAAAAGATTTCTTAACATTATATTAAGATTATGTAATTCTATAAAGTGTTGTTAGATAATCATCTCACGAAGAAGTTTTGTATCATAGAATCTAGAAATTCTAGCTGTTGCCACACTATACTACAGCACGAATTGTATTCCAAGCGGATGACAAATCGTGCGTCGAAACCCAGAATGAATTATACCGCGTTTTCGCGTGCATCTGATATTCTGTGGCCGGAAACACAGCGCGCGATGATA